AATGCAAGAGAAATTACAGTGAGCTTGTGGTGAATAAGAGGTTAGGAAGTGGAAAAAGGAAGTAGAGAAAATTAAAGAAGCTTAAAATGAAACAAAAATATATTGAAGGGAAAGGTAACTATGTGATCAAAGGAAATTTTGCAGAAAATAGGTCTTTAGCATTTTTACTGATAGGAAAAACATTCTTGGGATTACTTCCCAAACTTGGCTGTGCACAATAATTACCTGAAAAACTAAAAAATTTTAGTGCCTGTATGTGATGTGGTGATAGGGATTATAAAAAAACTTTTGTACATTCCAGTCAATTTTGCTGTGAACCTAAAACTACTCATTAAAAAATATCCAGTGCCCCTCTGTACTTTAGATAAATGAAATCATTTTCTGGGGATAAGACCAAAACAGTGATAGCATTTTTTTAAGCTCCCAGGTGATTCCAATGTGTAGATAAGTCTGAGAAGCACTGCATTTTTCTAACATTTCTCACAATTACAATTATCTTGAGAATTTGTTATTGATAAAAGACATTGCTGGGTCTCATCCTCAGAGTTTCTGAATCACTAGGTCTAGGGTAGGATTCATTTGTTTGCCTTTTTTGGAAGTTCCCAAATTATGTTAATGTTACTGACTCAAAACCACACTTAGAATAACATTCTGTTCCAGAGAGGGAGATTGAAGATAAAAGAAAGATAATATACCTGAAGATCCCCAGCCATGCTGCATAAAGATGAGGTGATTTGGATGATTCCAGGGGTCTTCTAAAGTGTTTCATAAGCCTTCAAAATTTTTTCAACTTGCTGTCTTTAGCAGCCCACAGAATTCTGGCTGAGGTCTGGTAATTTGTTCGAATGCCAAGATTCTCAAGTGTGGTCCCCATTAGGAGTAGCAGCAGCTTCACCTGGGAACTTGTTAAAATGCAAATTATTAGCATACCCAAGACCCTGAGTCAGATCCTCTAGGGATGAGATGCAGCAATCTGTGTTTTGAAAGGTCCTCCAGGTGGTTTTGATACATATTAAGTTAAAAACCACTATTTCGGTAAATGGCCAAAAATTAACAGCCAGGAGGCTTGTTGTTTTCCAAAAATGCCAGCATTCATCTGCCAGTAATTTATTTTGGTGAATAAGTTAGAAAATATTCTCTAGCTTAATCTACTTTTCTCAGAGAGAGATAGTGTGTCACATTCTCATATACAGCTGATGGGACTAACTGGTAAAATATTAATATTTCTATTTTATTTTGAATTGTGTTTTAAAATTCTAGTTAGCTTCTTATAGTATTCTGTTGGATGGTTTTCTAAGGCAATTAAAACTTCCATTTGATCCCTATCAAATGTATGCACTGGCTGATAATTTTGAAAGCATATGTAAATCCCCAGTTATATTCAGTAACTGAACAATAAAACAAATGAGACACCATTGATTAATGCTGCATCTTGACAGTTTCACATTCTGGAGAAAACAAAACAAAACAAAAAACACCACAGCAACATCAACAACAATTTGTAACAAAATCCAATCCAGTTTATATCACAAAGTTATTTTCAATCACTGATAGAAATTGAATACTTTTTACAGTTTTAGCAAGAACAATGATGAAAACTTACCACAAATACCTTGTGGCTCAATAGACCCCAACCAGGTACTAGAAAGACCTCCCTAGTCTCCCAGCCACTCCCTGTAACGCTGACAAGTCATCCAACAGAGCACTCTAGAGGTATTTTATGTGTTTTTGAAAGCCGGTCTGTACATCGAATTTCCCCTGCTGGATGCTGTCTTTGCTTCTTGTGCTGTTGCTTCCACTTAGTCATCCCTAATGCCTACCAAGTCATCTGAAGAAATTTCACTTGTGCTATGATTTGTTATGGGAATATCACTGTGTACAAATGCTGTTCAAAGCTTTCAATCCCCAGGGTCTAGATAAGCATCAAGTAATCTACAAAGTTAGAGGTAAACTTTGTCCCTGAAACAATTTCACATGGTGTCTTCTTAAGTAATGTTACCAACTTCTAATCCTCAGTACTGAAAACGCAAAGGATGAGATTAGACACTATAGTACATATTTTATTCTCCTCATCCTAATGTTACCAACTTCTAATCCTCAATACTAAAAACGCAAAGGATGAGATTAGACACTATAGAATATATTTTATTCTCCTCATCCTCCTGTAACTGTTTTGTTATGTGAAATGTATTGGAACAGTTGGGCTGAGGACAACTTTATTTTTTTCAACACATCCTACATAAATGGTTTAGAACCTTGTGGAACGTGAGCAATGAAATTTTAATGTTTTGTGCTTAGTATTTGCAAGCTTGAACAAAAAACAAGCATAAAATATTCTATTAAAAAATTCTGTTAACAACATCAACCAAAACTTTTCTTCCTCTAAAAAGAGTTTGAATCTGTATGAATGGAGGCAAACAAACAAGATAACAATATGTGAAAATTTCTGTTTTCATATGCTAACGTTCTGTGTGCATATAGAATATCTGAACTATGAGCATTCAGTTGGACATGACTCTTTAAACACTGTCTAATATATACTAAGCATTAAGTATGGATCATGCATGTTCATGAAAATTACCTAATTTTATATACCAAACCCTGAGTCTGTCAGATCTACATAAAGGGGGAAAAGTTGGCCTGTCTTCTAAGGGATGTAGGTAGAGAAGTTTCATAATAAAAATTGTGAGCAAGACATATAATTTAGAAATGAGATTGCTTCCCAGAATTCTGTAGCAAAAAATATGTTATTTTCTTGTTTAAATGAATTTTGTTCCAAGTTTCTTTTCATTTGTGTATGAGAAATTCCATCTTATGATTTTTTTTCTTTTCTTGAAAAAAAGTGGTGTGTGCTGTTTTCCCACTAAAATGTCCTAAATGATTCCCAAGAAATGTTACAAAGCATAGAAAATTGGAGTAAGTTTATAGGGTAGGGTCTTTTAGTTCCCTGGATTGCAGGAGCTTCCACTTCCTCCTGGCCAACCCAGAGAATGAGGTTCTTTATGTGAGTCTCCCAGGACAGTGCACCCAACAAACAGCTTCAGGCAAACAAGTGGGTCGATTTATACCTCTGGATCTCTGAAAGGGAGTGAGGGACAGTTCCCTACGCCTTGGCAACATGTACCTTAAGTCTGGGTACTTAAGAACCACTTCTGATGGCTTCACATTTTTCATCCCATGTCTTTCTAGAATGATCTAGACCATACCCTTTTAAGCATAAACTTTTGTAAACAAAAATAGGCTATTTTCTTCTGTGGACAGAAATCCTAAACACAAGGGCAGGATTTATTCAAAACATTAAATGATAACACTTATATAATTAGGGCTGCTCTATCCAATACTTTTATAAGAAGGAAGAGTAGCTTTTCTGTGGAAGTATCCAGGATTCATTTTATTATATTTCACTGAATCTGTGTCCCTCTTGATTCCTTTAAGAGTGTCTGTGTATTTCTGATGTTGGATGACCTGGTCTTTGGATATTATCTCTCAATGAAACCAATAATATCTAAGAATTATTATGAATATTATAGTTAATTAAATGATGATATATAATTGAAAAGATTACAAATTCAAAGACATTTCATAGGTAATACGAATTAAAAAGCCACCTGTTAAATAGTGTGCTAGATTGTTGGAAAAAAAAAAAAGTCCACAATATTTTACAGCTCTTCTCATCAAGAAGTGGGAATCTCCTTCAACATCCCTGGAATGGGGATTTATCCACATTTCTTTATTTGGTTAATGGGGCATTAACAGACATGATGCAAACAGAGGCTTGAAATGTGCTTTTGCATTAAGGATGTGTCCTCTGGCTTCCTTTGCAACCCACCTGTTATATAAAGAAGTTAAGCTAGATATGAATAAATCCAAAGAAAGAAGCCTGACTTAAAAAGACTAGTGGGATATGGCTTTTTTTCCCAATAAAGTGGACTAAATCTTATAAGTAGAAATCTTATAAGTAGAAATCCACAGTTTTTAAGGGAGTTGTATAAGCATAAACTAAAAGAGACTGAGACATTCTAAAATGAAAACAGACCCTCTGTTCATAGGCAGATAGAAGCCGCAAAAGCTACTCAGCTAAAAACATGGTAATTTCATTTAGAAAAGAAAAAAATGTCCCAGAAGGCAGAGCCAAAATTCCAGAGACCAGAGAAGAACAATGGACTGGAAAGCCACTCCCAGGGAGCAGAATTTTCTCTGTCCTCAGAGTAAGGGAAACTAGAAACACATCCCTTCTAATTACTAGAATTTCTATTGACCAGTGAATACTAGATGAATTTTATTTGTTCCTTGTGGCTATTTTGACCTTTGCTCACTGTTACATGTGAGGTGAGTCTTTTTTGTTTTCAAGTCTCTGAATCAAGAGAAGCTGTATCCAAGTATCTTCACTCACATTCACAAAAGGTAAAGGATGACATCATACTGGACTTAAGCTTGATGCTATAATTGAAAGAGGCTTGTGGGAGTCCTGAGACGGTTGAGGATATTTTGTGTTTGGGGAGAAGGTAAATAACTGGAGCCAAAGAGAAGACAGTGATAAATTGTGTTGGGGAAAGAAAGGCAACATTATTTTGCAGCAACTCTCATTAAAAAATTGCATCTATTTTTCCACCCCTTGAATGTGGCCTTGGCTATGTGATTTGCTTTGGTCAGTGGAATGTTACTAATATAATAGAAGTAGAGGCTTGAAATGAGCTTGAACATTTGAACTTGGTTTCGTGTTGGTTTTGTGAGGCGAACGTGATAACCACTACACTACGGAAACCAGCTTCTTGGTGGTTTTGCAACATAGTCATGTGTAAAAGCTTTGGCTGTCCTCCTAGATGATGAAAAATATGTGGCCTATTACTACCATTCCCTCAGCCAATAGCCCGACATATGAATGAAGTCATCTGGGATAAGGCAGTCCCCAACTAATCCGATAATTGACTCAAAATGTATGAGAAGCCAGGTTCTGAACAGAACTATATAACAAAATGCTAAGCTAAACATAATCATTATTTAAGTTAATATTTTTTGGTATAGCTTATTATGCAGTAAGAATATGTATGAATAGTTTTAGCAAAATAAAATTTTATTTAGATATTTTCAGTGAAAGTTGTTTAGTTTTGTTGAGGGCTGGCAAAAACAAATGCCAGTATTCTCTGACATATTCTTTCAGGGTGAGTCTTATGGCCACAGTTCAAAATACATGTAATCCTACAATAAAAATGAAAAATAAATACAATTAGGTTGGTTTAATAGTAGAAACAACTACAGGCATTAGGCATGAGAATGCTTTTTAAGATCTCTGTATTATAACAACATAAGTATAAAACACATTAAAAAACAGAAGTCTGAGGACCAGAGCCATGAGGAAACAACTTTTAAGGGTGTAAGAATGACTGTTTGCCCTTACCTATATCAAAATAATAGATTTGTGCATCTCTAAAGGCTGGCTTTTTCACTGCATAAATATTCTGAGTATTTATGTCATTAAAGGTCCTTAAACGTATTTATTAGTTTGTTTTAATATCTACTTATTTCTCTATTCTAGTGATGTCTCATTATGTAGTTAGTAAATCTCATACTCACACATTTTATGTTGCTTTAATTTTTGCTATTTGAGTGAATTTTGCTACATAGTTTACATTGCTAGTTACTCTGTCTGTATCTATAAAAAACATTAAATTTTTGACGTGTTTTAATTTTTGACAAATGTATTTTAATTTATTCCTCTAAAAGTTACACCTGTAACTCATGAGAACTTGATTCCTTAAATCTTCATTAGCATTGAGCATACATCATTAGAAATAAAAACTTTATTATATGATAAACAAAAAAAGGTATTTTATCCTTTCTTTTATGCTTCTCTTGTGTGTTTTTGGAAATGCTTTCTTATGTTTAGTGGTTATTTTTATTCCCTCTTTGATAGTGATTCAAATTATTTTTTCATATTATTTGTACATTTTCATTGAGTATTTGATTGTTTCTTCTCATTTAAGGATCACGTTTATTGACCTAAGAATATTATTACTTAGTCATATATGTTATGGATTTCCTTAATTATTTCCCTTATTTCCTATATTATCCTGAATTTATTACTTGCTTTTAAATATCTAATATTATGAGGGTTTATGAAAAACAAAAGTTTAAAATATTTAAATTTAGTAGTCTGTTACTTCACGATTTTCTTGCTTTGAAAGACCTATTTTGTTTAGAGACTAAGTATGGGTGCTGTTTATTTTTGTTTGCTTAATGGTTCAATATCTCCATTATGCTTCCTTGAATATATTCCTCCTTTTTTTTTTTCTAACTTTATAGCTTAAGCCAATTAATTTAGCTTATTAATTTTTCTCTTTTCTTCAATAATTATAGCTATACATTTAACATGTTTAGTTGCATGCCAAGAGTTTTGAACATGTATTATTTTATTACATATTTTAAAGTATTTAAAATATTTTGTTATGGCTTTTTAGAAATAATTGAGTTATTTGCATTTCAATATGTAGAAAACATTTAAAAATATTTATTAACTTCTAATTGAGTCTCGTTTGCTCATGTACTAAGGTCTAAATGATAATGATTCTCTGTAATTTGTTGAGACTTGCTTCTTGGCCCATAATTATATTAATTTGTGTAAATAATGTTTATTTGAGAACAATGTGTGTTATCTAATTTTTGGTAAAAAGTTCTAAATAAGACCATTAAATCAAGCTTATTCATTTTGTTGTTCAAATTTTAAATAACTTTAGTAACATTCTGTCTTATATCTAATAAAAATGAAGAGATGTGAGTAAAATCCCCCATTTTGATGATGGGTTTGTCATTATAACTTTTTAACATTTGTCTCTATATTTTGAAGTTAATATTACATGCATACAAGTCTAGAGTTACTGTGTCTTGTTTAAATAGATGCTTTATCATCATAGTTACCCATTTTGTTTCTGTTGCTATTTTTTGGAGTGTTAATTTTTTTTTCCTGGTATTAATTTAGATTCCTTAGCTTTCTTGTGGTTAGCATTTTATCCATATTCACTTTCTTTCAAATTTTTGTTCATTAATTTAGGTTTATCTTTTTAAAAGAGACTATAGATACTTTAAAAATCCAATTTAACTATTTCTATCAACTGGTAAGTACAGAAGGTTTACAAATAATGTCATTTTGTTCAATGCTGTTTTGTTATAATGTTGATGACAAAAATAATGAGTTTTATTCTACATCCTTGTGCTTAAATTTGCAGTTTCCAAGAACCTATCAATGACTGATATGGGTTGGCTCTATGTCTCCACCCGAATCTCATCTTGAATTATAATCCCTATGTGTTGAGGCAGGGACCTATAATCCCCAAGTGCGGAGGGAGGGAAGTGATTGGATCATGGGGGTGGTTTCCCCTATGCTGTCCTTGTGATAGCGAGTGAGTTCTCTGGAGATCTGATGATTTTATATGCATCTGGCATGTCCCCTGCTTGTACTCGCTCTTTCCTGCCACCTTGTGGAAAAGGCGCCTGCTTCTCCTCCGCATTCCACCATGATGGTAAGTTTCCTGAAGCCTTCCTAGACGTGTGTAACTTTGAGTCGATTAAACCTCTTTCCTCTATAAATTACCCAGTTTCAGGTATTTCTTTACAGCAGTGTGAAAATGAACTAATACAATGATATTAAGTGAGGACTTAGGGAAAAAGAACATAACCTTAGAGGGATCATCTAAAGTTCAATAAAATTTGAGAGCAAATAAAGTGCTAAACATATCTGTGATTGTATTAGGAAAATAAGAGCAAACATTTAATTTGTAAATTTAAAAAGAAGTAAAATGAAAACACTAGCCAATGAAAGTATATCAGTTGTGAGAGAGAGATTAGAATTAAAATGTTTTTAAGGTCTTTGCATTGCTTAAGAGATAGAGCTAAATCAAATAATATCTATAGTTTCCAAATTAACAATATATTAACATTTAAATAAAATATAACAAGCATGCATTAATAAATTTTACATTGTAAGAGATAACTATAAGTCACATTGAATGAACTATATTTTTTCTGTTTTCACTGACAGTCTGATTTTTCTTGAATGCAAAGGATTTAAACCTCAATAATCGTGTTTCCAGGACACTCTAATTTTCGCTTCCTTTGCAAGGTGAACACTGAATTCATAATGTCATTTGGGGACTGAGGATGGTCAGAAATGCACAATTTGCAGTTGATTTAGATGATTCAAGGAGAAATATTAACAAAAGTGCAACAATAGTCTCAGAAAATGTAATTTTCAGGTAAATAGAGTAAAAGTAGACTCACAATGAGGAAAGTTGCTCCAAGCATCAGTGCTTTAATTTTAACATCAAGATCAAATGGAAACTGGATCTCGAGTTTCTCACCATTGGTTAATATTCCCCTCACAGATCCAGAGAAGTGTTTTGAAATTTTTCCAATAACCATTTCCTCATCCAGCGTCAATAACTAAAATAGAAAAATATATAATCTTAGGAGAAAAATGTACAAAATAAAAAGCTATTTCTTTACCAAATTTATTAACTAATTATGACCTTGATGAGTGATATTTATACTGATTATACCCAACAATTTATAAAATATGCAACTTGGACACATAAAACACTGGTAACATTTATAGGCAATTCCTACCTAAAAGTCGATTTTCAAATTGTATACAACTGATTATATCTATCTCTCTATGTGCCACACTTATATACACTTAATTCACATAATTTGCTTTAACTTAATACAAGAATGAATTTCATTATAAAATGAAAACCATGAGCTTCTCAGCTCATTATACAGCTTAACCAACTCTTTCATAAGTGATTGTATTTTTCTGGCTCCCTTTACTTTTTCCTCATTTCTTTTTCTGTTACTTATTTAAACCTCCTAGAGCATCATTTCTCATACCAACTAATATTAATTCCTTCAGAATAAGAGATACTCATGTAAATATAAAACCACAAACCTGGGATAAATCATACTACCTGCCTTGTAATGAATGCAATAAGGGAAAGGTAGAGTGCTACAATGCAGTAAAATTGGGAGCTCATAAGCACACTACACAAATTGTGGGGGCATGGTTTTAGAGTAAGCTGCTTGGGGACAGTGTCATTTAAGCTGAGACTTAGACCAGACAGAATTAGTGATAAGAGAAATAGGTAGACAGACAGCATTCCAGAGAAAGTTAACAACATGTGAAAAGACCCCGAGTTACGAAGGAGCACAGCTGGAGTGAAGTGAGGGAGGGAACTAATAGCAGAAAATGAGTGAGACCAGAGAGGTTAGCAGGGCTGCTCATACACAGCCTTGTAAGTAGTGCTAAGGAACAGGAAAATGAGAAATATCGAAGTGCTTTAAATATGTCCAAAGTTCTTCACCCTTTTCAGAACTCTGAACCCACCATTCCCTCTCTTTCTCAACAAAATGTCTTATCTCTTCTATTACAGAGAAAATAAAAGGTATGGAACAGGAATTTATCCTCAGACACTAGCCCTACAAACAGAATGTGTTCATACCAACATTTCCTGCCTCCTTATTGTTATGATGAATGGATCTCTATATGAGGCTAATTCTCTACATGTGTCTCAGTCTCATACCAAATAAGAAACCAGATTCATCAGCGATTAGGCCTCTGCTGTATCTCCATACTTTCTCTCTCATTTGGCTCTGTTATTTTACAATCAAAGGGATAACAACATACTTTTCAGGAAAATATCTCACCTTCCACCCTCTGTCCTCATCCAGCCAGAAACAGGATTAGGTTATTGCAGAGAGATAAGTCATACAAGTACATGATCAGTTTCTTTCTTAATTTTTTAGTTTATTTCATAACAATTTTTTTGTATTAATTTTTGAAGTGCAATGCATTCAGGTATCACTTACCCTTAATACTGAGATTTTTGTTGGTCCCTTAAATTTTCTATCTGAGATGGACACATCAATTGCCTCATTCTAGTTCTGGCCCTGTAACTAGCCACTACTTTATCTTTTCTCTTATTCACAGCCAAAAAAAAATATGAAAAGGATTGTCCACATTCATGCAAAAGATGACTTTCTTACAGAATCATGATTTCCATTTCTTGCTCCTCATACTTGAGCTTACCCAAGAGTGCTAGCTTTAAAACTGTTTTGCTTCAAACAGAAAAAATAGGCAGGGTTTTATATACATTTGACAAAATGTTGAAGATATTAGAATGAGTAGGATTTGCTGTATTATACTATGAAATATAAAATAATGCACAGAAAGCATTTTATTATTTGGTGTCAGTAAAAATTGCTTTGGATTCCAGAGTTTTATGCACAGTCTACTTTGTTACTTTGGCTTCTAACTTAAAATAGAGTCCTATATAGTCATGTTATTACTTTCCAAACTAAACATATTATTAACAATTAATTTGTAATATATTAAGTATATATATATGCAGATGCCAGTAAGAATCAGAATCACTAAAATTAATTGACATAATTCTATGAAAGGAAAGAAAATCAGTTCGTATTTTAGTTAAGCTGTATCGAAATTTCTTACTAGGTATTTTAGCTATTCAAACAACAAATGTGTTTTTGATGAAAGTTTGGGAAGTATGGTTTTGCATACCTACTATCGAGTTAAACTAACACAATATTCTCTGTTGCTTAGGAATCTTCAAATTTGAATAAACATAACAAGTTCTTTAATTTTATTAACTATATGTAATATATTTAGGAGTTAACTTCCCAAATTATTATTTGGATGTTAGCTATAATCTGAGAAGTAAATTAGTAAGCACATAAACTGGGAGCTAATAAGCAGACTACACAAATTGTGGGGGCATGGTTTTAGAGTAAGCTGCTTGGGGACAGCATCATTTAAAAATTTTTAAAATTATATTAATTTTTATATTAATTTTAAAAATTACATTGTATTTTGAAGTTTTATAAAAAGCAAAAACTCTGTTAATGAACATTAAAATATTATGTATAATTAGTACCAGATTAGGTCATTGTACATTGAAATAAAGTTTAATTTTTTCTTTCAATATTCCTTGAGATACTAAACACCAAAGCTTTGGCACCTTTAAAACTTGCCTTATAAGCTACATAAACTTCTAGAGCTTTTAAATAAGGACACAACGACTTAGTAATCCAATATTTTAAAAAAGCAAATAGTTACAGTATTTTCATAATAATATTCCTTTATTTTTCTTTAATCATATTCAATAATTATATGTATTGTGAAAAAACTAATAACTAATTTTAATATGATGTTAAAACATTATTAATTACTTACATTAAAATTTAGATCCCTGAGACAGCTGAAGACCAACCATGGCCCTTTAATTTTCATTACCTCCTCCTTATTCTCATTTTTTATTTTGAATTTTGGCAAGAATGGGTGAAAGTATTGATAAACATATCCAATTGTTTCGCCAGGGGGAGCTTCAACTTTTAGCTACAAAAGATTGAAAAATATAATATTGATCCACCAGATATGTTAGATTTGTTAGTAATACTTTATTTACTTCTGTACTACCTTTCAAATGAGCTTAATGTATATTTATACAGAACTTTCTGTATTTAAGGGATGCTTCATGCTTGAGAATAAACATAAAAGTGAGAAGACCAGGATTTAGATGTTAAAGCCCCGTGAGCTAAGACCTGACTTCACTGCTTGCCAACTGCTTGAAATGTGGACAAGTCACTAAAATCTCTGAAATTTACTTTCATTTGCAAAAGAGGGATAACAACAATCTCTGTTATAGGCATTTATGAAGATACTTTTTAAATTCCCATGCACATGAAATATAATTTAAGCCTAATTACATCCCAAACTGCTTATTACTCAATGTGCCAAACACTTTCATAACTCTTTGCCACGGCAAATATAAATTTATTGAAATTTTTTATCCCAATTTTCATTTAAAGCTCAATTAATTAGACTCAATAGAGAGTTGTTGAATAAATTATGGCATATTCATATAATGGGTTATTATCCTGCCATTTAAAGGAACAAATAAACTCTAAACATAGATGTAATCCTCAAGTTATAATGTTAAAAAAAAGTTGAAGAATATGCTACTGTGTTAAAACACACACATACACACACATAGCATAAAACATACATGTTAAAACACACACATACATAAAACATACATAAGCATGTTATGTTTATGTAATATACAAATATTCACAAAGTAACTGTGGAAAAATACGTAAGAAACTTATAATAGTAGTTGTATCTAAAAAGGGATGTAGGAGCCTAGGAAGCAAGCATTTGAGAGAAATTGTTTCTCCTGAATATACTTCCATTCTATTCTGTACTTTTCTTTTCTGAAAAGCACAGAATTCTGACTTTCTCTTTTTGCTTTCCTTCCCTCCCTCCCTCCCTCTTTCCTTTCCCCTTTCCTTTCATTTTTCTTACCCTGTATAAGTATTACTCATTAAATGGCAAAGACTGCTAAGTCAAGATGATGGTAATGGTGGTACGGCTTGTAAACATCCCCAAAACTCTCATGGAAAAGAAGAAAATAAGTATGCTAGCAAAACAAAACAAAACTGTCAAATTATTTAGACAAAATTAGACGGAAAAACAAAGCCTCAAGTCTCAAAATGTAAGTAGATGCAGTGAAACACATGAGAAGAACAAGATGTTTCTGAGATTTCCAGAATCCAGACAGTAAATACATACATTCATAAAGTTATGCATACAAATAAAAAGCATATAGATGGCAAAGGAAGAAGTAAAATCTGTATTTTTATATCTATAATTGTAGGAAACTTTAGTGACTTTACAAAAAAGCTACTAAAATTTATAAGTGATTTTTGTCAAGGTCAGAGTAAAGTGTCAGTGTACACAGAGCAATAATTTTCTATATACTATATACAAGCAACAAAAATGGAGAGTTTAAATTAAAAATACTATTTATAATTATATCTAAAAATATAAAATAATTAAATTTATTTGTAATATAATATTTGTAAGACCTAAGTACTGAAAATGACTATTACTGGGAGTTATTAAATAGAAGGAGAAATATACCATAGTCATTGAGCAGAAGATTCAATATTAATAAGGTATCAGTTCTTTTCAAATTAATTCATTGATTAAATACCCTCAATATCTCAGCAGGATTTTGAATATGATAATTTCGTTTTTGTAAATTTACATGAAAATGTGAAGGACCTAAGAGAGCCAAAAAAGGTTTAACAAAAGCAAAACAAAATAAGAAGGCTTGTATTACCTGATATTACGACTTACTCTACAGCTGGTACTATGCCAATATTATATAGTCCTGATGATCCTGGCTCTGTGTATGTATAGATATTTGTATGTATATACACAGGCAGAATAATGGAAGATAATAGACTATAGAAATAAGCAAATATATACATTGGCAATTCATTTTGAGAAATGTTGCCAAAACAATCCAGTAGAAAAACAATAGTCTTTACAAATCATGGTGTTTAAACAATGAAATATTAAAGTCAGAAAAAATGGGTCTCAACACTTGATTTAAATATAGAGTTTCCATAGTAAACATGAGATAGAGTCTTTGCCACTTTGCAATAGGCAAATATTTCTTAGGTCACAAAAAGCCTTGGATGGATGGTTAGATAGTTTAGAAGAGAAAACATCTAAAGAGCTTATGACCTCCATTGCCTGGAAAAAATTTGCAATGTTGTGCATGATTTTCACCCTATAGGTATGTGGTACAAAAATTCAATTCTCTTTCTGACGTTTTTCATTCTAGACAATTCTTTGCAGCCAATCACAATGTTTAGACTTTATCATACTGTCCAGCAGTGAGGCTTTTTTGGATATGATGATATATTTACTTACCTTTTGTAGGCAGCATCTACTCCAGCAACAGCTACATTTCAGAGCCTTATGCAGAGCAAGTATATCTCTACCTACATTATCATAAATTGTCATAGTAAAAGGCCTTGAAAATCCACAAAGGTGTCGAAGGAAGCAATTATTTCTCTCTTCTGCAAAATAAATTCTTTGTCCTTGATTGTTCAAGATTTCATATGTTTTACTAGTTTCAAATTTTCTGAGGGCTAGAGAATAAATAATATATTAATTTGTTAGTAATACTGATGTAAGATGTATTTAAACAGGTATCAAATTACCTTCCAATATGGAAATTATATTGGATAATAAACTGCTTGAATTTAGTTAACTAATTTTCACTGGTATCTTTGTCTTCTTATGTATAAAAAGGAGAGATAGGCTAGCTACTCTCTGGCTCTGTTTACTGCTCAAATTCTATGCATAGCCTTTTGGTATCCTCTTTGAACTTCAGGAAAGTTAACCCATTATGTTTTAAGTCATGTTTAATTTTATTCTTCATGTTTTCCTTATTGCAAAATTTTAAAAAGATTTCATTAGAACTCCATTCTGGATAGTAGAAATTAAAAAAATTGTATTTATGCTAAATTGAGGGAAGTAGGATGCACTCTCATATATTGTTTATATAATATTCAAATGTACTCCTTTTGCAAGTAAATACAAATATTACTATCTTTTGTTTCAATAATTTTCCTTCTGTTATTATACAAACAAAACAATTTTAAAACTTAAAAAAGAAAGTTTTAGGCATCAAATATTCACTACTGCACCATTTGGAACAGAAAAAATAAAGTGAAAACAAAGTATCCAATTAGAGATAATACATAGTGTCCTACATTTAAGATTACTATGTAGCTCTTTAAAATGCTGGGTTTTTATGATAAAGAAATCGTAACATTAAGTGACTAAGTATGACAAATTGAGTGGACAATAATTAAAATTGATTTTTAAAAACTCTAATAAAATAATAATTTTAAAAACCTCTTCAGAGGACATGTAGTTATGCATATATGATTTTTATCTCAGTGTTATTTTTCAAATGAGTATATACTTATTTTTCAAATGAGTATATGTTACTCTAACATACATTAAACATTCTGTTTTAAGGCTAAAGTTTGAAACAGGTTGAGTATAGAATTTCTTCATTTTTAATGATTCTGTGGGCAATGAACATAATTACGTTTCTATCTTGTGTCAACATATATCAAAGGTACACATTTTCATTTGATATTGAAGACTAAATCATGATTTATAAGTTAGTAAAACAATTTTCTAACTGCTTTAAAAATCAATTTTTTAGTAGAAATTACATATGCGTGGCACAAATTTTAAAAATACAAATGGGAGTATAAAATTAAAAATAATTTCTTCTTCCAGCCCTATCCTATCCCCATCTTTTCCCATTTCATATGCATCCTTTCAGAGATATACCAAGCATATAAAAAACTACAAATATTTTAAACACACACACACACACACATATACACACTCCTAACTATATGCTCTACTTTGTAATTATTGTTTACACTTAATATACTCTGAAGATATTCTTGGCATATCTGTAGAGCTAATTCTTTGAAATAACTCGAGATGTTAAATTATATGAAAGTGTCTCCATTTAGAATGGTAGTTCTCAAATTTAAGCCTGTATCAGTATCTCCTGAAGGGCATTATAAAGCAAATTATTGACCCCCGCCTGTGGATTTTCTGAATTAACACTGGGTTTGTAATGGAGCTTGAGAATTTGCATTTCTTTATTATTATTATTTATTTTTATTGTACTTAGGGCTCTGGGGTACATGTGCACTTCCTGCATCCTGCAGGACTGTTGCATAGGTACATACATGCCACGCTGGCTTGCTGTCTCCATCCCCCCGGCCACCGCACCAGTCGCCTACATCTATTTCTCCCAGTGTTATCCTTCCCCATCCTCCCCCACCAATCCTCCCACTGCTGTCCCTTCTCTCCCCTCCCCTCCACCCTCCACTTAGCCCTGTGAGGGTTGTTCCCTTCCCTGTGCCCAAGTGTTCTCATTGTTCATCACCTACCTATGAGTGAAAACATGAGGTGTTTGGTTTTCTGTTCTTGTGTCAGTTTGCTGAGAATGATGGTTTCTAGATTTGTCCATGTCTCTACAAAGGACAAGAACTTGTCGTTTTTTATGGCTGCATAGTATTCTATGGTGTATATGTGCCACATTTTCTTTGTCCAGTCTATATGTGCCACATTTTCTTTGTCCAGTCTATCATTGATGGACATCTGGGTTGGTTCCAGGTCTTTGCTATCATAAACAGCACTGCAATGAACATATGTGTGCATGTGTCTTTATAATATAACAATTTATAATCCCTTGGGTATATACCCAGTAATGGGATTGCTGGGTCAAATGGAATTTCTATTTCTAGATCCTTGAGGAATGGCCACACTGTCTTCCACAATGGTTAAACTAATTTACACTCCCACCGGCAGTGTAAAAGTGTTCCTTTTTCTCCACATCCTCTCCAGCATCTGTTGTCTCCAGATTTTTTAATGATCGCCATTCTAACTGGCATGCGATAGTATTTCAATGTGGTTTTGATTTGCATTTCTAACATGTTCCCAGGTGATGCTGATGCTGCTGTTCTATGTTCAGGTGGGACCATACCTGGAGAATCACTGGTTTGGAGAAATTGTTCCCTATTCATGGCTGTTTAGATTCCCAATATTTTTGATATTTTTGTGACTTCTTAAATTATGGGTTACTGTGGTTGTTTCTCTCCTTTGAATTTCCATGATTAGTTTTTACCAGTCTCATTATTTTATGACTCCATACTTTATTCAAACATTGTCTTATTTTGTGTTGCTATATACATGACTCCATATTTTATTCAAGCATTGTCTTATTTTGTGTTGCTATAGCAGAAAATCATACACTGGATAATTTATTTAAAAAACAGATTTACTTCTCACAGTTCTAGAGGTTTGGAAGTCCAAGGCTGAGGGGCTGGCATCTGGCAAGGGCCTCCTTACTGCATCATAATATGATGGAAGGTGTCATATGGTGAGAGAACATACAAGAGAAGGAAGGAAGGAGTCCAAACTCATCCTTTTATCAGGAATCCACTCCTTCAATAATAAACATACTCCTGCCATAATGGCAACAATCTATACATGGAGGAAGAGCCTCATGACCTAATCACTTCTTAAAGGTCCCACATCACAACACTATTGCATTGAGAATTAAGTTTTCAGCACATGAAGTTTGGGGGAACGCATTCAAACCACAGCATTCCATCTCTGGCCACCAAAATTTACATTCTTCTCACATGCAAAATACATTCATTCCACCCCTTAGCCTCAAATTTTGAACTCATTCAAGTAACAACTTAAAAGGTCAAAGTCCAGAGTCTTATCTGAATCAGACATTGGTGGGACTTCGGGCATAATTTGTCCCAAGGCAAATTCTTCTCCAGCTACTAGTCTATGAAATTATCTACTTCCAAAACACAGTGGTAGAATAGGCAAAGGACAAACATTTCCCTTTCAAAAGGAAGAAATAGGTAAGAAAAAAAGAAGTAACCAGTCTCAAGTAAGTCCAAAGTCCAATAGGAAAAGTAACATTAAGTCTTAAAGCAGGAGAATACTCTCCTTTGATTCTATGTCTTGCGTCCTGGGCATAACTCAGGATGGGGAGGTTTGAACCTTAAGGCCTCAGGCAGCTCTATCCCTATGGCTTTCCTGGTTTCAGTCCACTCTCTAGCTCTCATGAGTTGGAGTCTCATGCCTGCACCTTTCTCAGGCTGGAGTTGCTTGCTAGTGGCCCTACAGTTCTGTAGTCTCCAGAGCCATCCCACTTTGACTACTCCCTTGGCATTGCCCTAGTGCAGGCTTTCTATAGTGACTCTGCTCCTGTAACAGGCCTCTGTCTGGGCCCCAGGTTGTCTCTGACATTATTTGAAATCTACATGGAAGCTTCCATGGCCCCACAGCTCATGCACTCTGCACATCTGAAGATTAAGCACCATTTGGATGTCACCAATACTTACCACTTATGCCCTCTGGAGTTGCAGCATGAATTGCACTTGGGCCTGCATGAGCCATGGCAAAGGAGTACTGCAGTGAAGGGCAGGGACTAGAGAACCAAGACAGCCCTGAGCAGTGAGCTTGTGGAGTGTTGTTTGGATCCATCTTCCAAAAACATTTGGCCCTCCTGGAACTCTGGGCCTGTGATGGAAAGGGAAGCCTCAAAGCTCTCAGAAATGCCCTAAAGGCCATTCTCCCATTGTCTTGATGAATAGTACCTGGCTCCCTTCTATTTATACTCATCTCCTTAGCAAACCACTGCTTGGCCACACTTTTGGTTTGCTCTCCTAAACATACCTTTTTACTCTTTACACAGCTACTCTGTGAAGTCTCCAAAATTTTTCCATTCTATTTCTCTTTTAATTATAAATTCCATTTTAAGTCATTTCTATCCTCTTGCATCTTACTATAAGTGGTTAAAACTAATCATGCAGCTCCTTCAGTATTTTGCTTAGAAATTTCTTCTGCTAGACATCCCCATTCATTACTCTTAAATTCTGCCTTCCCTAAAGCTCAAGGGCATGGACACGACTCTGCCAAGTTCTCTGCAGTTGTATAATAAGCTTTGCCTTCACCCCAATTTTCAATACCTTGTTTCTCATTTGTATCTACGACTCATCAGAATTGCCTTTACTGTATATCTTTCTACTAATCTTCTGATCACAGTCACTTAAGTAATTTCTAAGAAGTCTCAGACTTCCTTATAGCTATTTTCTTTTCCATTGATGGTAATCTAGGCTTTTTCTAGCTTGCTTCTACAAACTCTTCCAGCCTCTACCCATGACTCAGTTCCAAAGCTGCTTCCACATCCCAGGTATTTACTATAGCAACAACACTACTTCTCAATTTTCTGTTGTTGTTTGGTATTTCTATAAAATAATTCTACAGACTGAGTAATATAAAAAGAAGAGAGATTTATTTCTCAAAGTTCTGGAGGAGGGGAAGTCCAAGAAGGTGGGGCTGGCAACTGGTGAGAGCCTTCCTGCTGCATGGTATCACAAGGGAAGGCATCACACGGTAAAATGAATAAGAGAGAGGGGGAGGAAGAAGATCAGACTCATCTTTTTATCAGGAGTCCACACTCGAAATAACTAACCCACTCCTGAGATAAAGGCATTACTTGATACATAAGGGCAGAGCCCTTGTGACCTAATCACCTCTTAAAGGTCCAACCTGTCAACACTATTACATTGATGATTAAGTTTCTAACACTTGAGCTTTGGTGAACAGATTCAAACCACATAAAATACATTAATTCCCCACACTTCAGAGGAAGCTCTTCAGTGCAACCCTGAATCTGATTCTTCCTTGATTCCCTCAAAATGGCTAGTATATATCTTGTTTATTGTAATTACATATGGTGTTTCTGTAGTAAATATTCTTGCATAAAATAAAGCAATTTAGTATAATTCAGCAAGGAAAAAAAAAGAAAGCATTCCTTTATAATATGCCTAAATGGAAGCGCTTTTACAAGTTAAATAAATTATAAACACCCATTTTAGTTTTAGAATCTCTAATGCATAAGGAAGGTGATGATAATACTATTTTTTTGTAACTAGACACTCATTTCCATCCATGTTAGATTCACCCACATAAAAGAAATACTTGGGCCAGTCACAGTGGCTCATGCCTGTAATCCCAGCACTTTGGGAGGCCAACGCAGGTGGATCACCTGAGGTCAGGAGTTTGAGGCCAGCCTAGCCAACGTGGTGAAACCCCATCTCTAAGAAATACAAAAATTAGCCAGGTGTGGTGGCATGTACCTGTAATTCCAGCTACTTGGGGGGCTGAGGCAGGATAATCGCTTGAAGCCAAGAGGTGGAGGTTGCAGTGCGCCAAGATTGTGCCACTGCACTCCAGTCTGGGCAACAGAATGAGACTCCATCTCAGGGCAAAAANAAAAAAAAAAAAAAAGAAAAGAAAAGAAAAGAAAAAGAAATATTTGTACTAAGTTGAGATACAGGTCAAGTTCTAAAGAACAGTTTAATTTTCCAGAATTGGGAGCACAGCTGGACTATCCAGAAACGTACCTGCATTCTGCTTCTATTAGCAAAATTTCTGAAGAATTTGGAATTAATTTTTCTCTGAAATACCTGTATTTGAGGAAATCAGGGTGGGAAAACCATTTCAGGAGCCATACCTATGTTTAGTATACCAGAATTGCAGATCAGAATTTTCAGGAATAATTCTGCAGCCAGTATCTTTTTCCTTTCTCATGAGAAGATTATTGCTGCATTTACCTGCTTATTATCTAAGGACCTTCTATAAATTCTCTTCATGTTTGCAAGGTTTAGTTTTCCTCATACTTAAGAAGCACTTTAATTTATGGGGGTTGATCTAACTGCAACAAAACAAGTCATGGCTTAAATAATTAATATATCATTGTGTTTGGTACATACCTCCCAGAGGGTCAAAATGTTGACACACTATTAAGTGATTTATCTATTAGAATAAAAATAAAGAAGGTGGTTATGAAGTATTCAAACTACATTTAAAGTACTTATCAACACATAACTTAATATTTACATTTGATATGTTTAAAGTAATTGATTCATTGTCAACATCTCTGATTTTTTGTCACTTGTATATTATAGCAGTCTAAAACTAAATTTTATTTTACTTCACCATGGAAACAGGCAAATGCAAAATTATTATTACAGTCTATAAGGTGTTTTGTCTTTTCTCTATTGTTAGCATATTCAATAATTTGGTTAACGAAAAATTTAAAATACATATCAGAAATATTTTTGAAATTCAGAGACTATCTATACTATCATTTGAATAAATATTTTAATATAGTTTTTACCCAAATGCTAAACGGTTTTGTTATGTTTATATCATAATTTGTGACAAGTTTAAAATAAACACTGAAAATGTACACAACCTTTTCAATAAGCCACATATATACTATTTTATTTTTAAAGTATTACAAAATAAAATATGGCCAATGATTATAGGCAACTAAATTGTCAAAGTTAATTATTCAAGAGACAATATCACAGGAAACTAAATCAGAACTGACAGCATAAACCTAAATTTTATTCAGTCTAGTACAGAATAAGAGATATTTTCCTAATATTACTGTTTATATTTTACATTTTCATACCAGGCTTCTCATACACAAACAGTAGATGAAGTAAAGATTCTTGAGATTAATATAAACTACATTCGGAAAATCCAATTTTCTATTTTAAAAGTAGGCATTTATTTTTAAGTGGGTGCCTAGGAAATAAATTCGTAAGTAACAATACTATAATATGTAAAGTCTAAGTTTACTATCTCAATCAAAAATGAAAATAAAAATGTATATGTAAATAAAATAGAAAAATCTTAAATTCACAGTATTTTAATCCACAGTCAAAAGTTTTTATAAGAAATTATATTCTGAAACTATCTCAATTCATAATATTATAGATCAAATAAGTTAAGAAACACATTGCTATACCTGATGCAAACACTCCAATCCAGGTGGACAGCTGGTTATCGTCCCTGGTGTAGACAACCAGGGTCGGAGATCATAAATAGCCATAATCTAAATTATGTAAGTGCTTTAGAATGAGACAAATTGAAAATATTTAGTCTTTTATGTTTAACATCTAACATCATCAAAACATATTAACCTGGTTAGAAACAGGAATCTACAACTACAGGCTTAGCTCTTCTACATTTAATGGTGTAAACAACATTCATATTTTATTTTGTAAGTTGTTTTTAATATTTGTGGTTTTATAAGTCTGTCTCTCATCAAATACCAAAAAAGAATTTCAGGAATACAAGTACCAGTTAATGCAGATTGTTATTCCCATGTGACCTTAATCTATTTAAACAAAATTAAGTAAGGACAAGATAAATCATCTTAAAATGAGGTTTGAGTAGATATCTATCTCCAGCACCATGATTCTAACAAAATTAGAACAAATCTTTGTGGAGGCAAATTTTCTAATTGGCCCTAATTAGGGTTTTATGATTCTCTGTATTTTCCTTAGGTTGCTCAGAATAAAACTTGGAAAATAAATTAATCTACAAACCCTGTTTCCAGCTCAAAGTTTAAGAGGAGGATTAACAGTGCCCACAAATACACTGAAAATATTGCAGAATTTACTCACATTATTTTGTGGCAAATATTGTATGATCTACTCTCAAACAGATACAAGAAAAAAGTTAAACATATAACAAAAAGGCCACAACATATAGGCAAGAGATAAATATTAATAATGACAAAGAAGAAAACATACTTTTGAAAAATGTTTACTGCTAAAAACAAGAGTAAATTTTAAATAGCAGGTTTGCATTCCAAAGATACTGACTATGAAATAAGAGGTGAGGTAAAGAGAAGTAAAGAAACAATCCTAGCAAAAGAGAGGACCATACATACTTGAGTTGCTATTATTGCTATTTTAGTTTAGATGGGTCAGATAGCAACTATGTGTTTGAATTTTTGAGAAACTGCTAAATGTTTTCCAAAGTGGCTACTCCATTTTACAAGTTCTAATGTTCAAGAAGAATGTTGGGGACTTTAGTTAGCAATATGTATTGTATATTTAAAAGCAGGTAGAATAGAGGATTTGAAATATTTCCTACATAAAGAAATGATAAATACTCAGGGTGATGGATAATTCCAAATGCCCTGGACTTTATCATTACACATTCTCTGCAATTAACAAACACTCACATGTACCACCTGAATATGTAAAATATTATATATCAAATAAATCAACACAAATGTATTGTGTTCCAATTTCTGGTGGTCAGAAGTCTGCAACGGGTCTTCAGGGTTGTGTTTTTGTTGAAGGCTATAGGAATTATATTTTTCTTTCTCTTTTGTTTTACCTTCTGACCTTGTATTCTCTCATTAGGAGTATTGTAATTACATTTGGTCCACACAGATAACAGAATAATTGGCTGTGTTAAAGGATCTTAAGATCCTTAATGTAATTATATTTGAAAAATGCTTCTTTTCATCTAGGTTATACATCTACTGGTTCTTTGGATTATGATACCGGTATGTTGGGGAACCACTGCTCTGTTTACAATAGTTCTCTCTCAGTTCCCCAAAGGAATATCTATCCCACAGGCAAAGTATGTAAATCCCATATCAAATCTCCAAAAGCTCAACACATTAAATTACCTCACCATAAATAAACTTCATCAGCTTAAATATCCAAAAATCTCACCATGTAAATCTGGTATTGGTTGTGACTATGGGTATGATCCATTATGGGTAAAAATTTCTCTTCAAACTTTGACTTGTAAAACAAGAGTACATTTTACTCTTTTCATAACGCAATAGTAGGACAGAGATAGTTTCCCTGTTAGAGGCATTTCTGTTCAAAGAGGGAGAAGATAGAATCAAAAAAAGAATCATCAACGCAAATAATTTTGAAATCCAGCATGTGAGGCTCCACTACATTTTGGCACCTTGAAATAATCCTCAGTGGCTGTCAGTTTTACCTTCTGGCTTCAGGATTCTTCCCTCTTGTCCTGCAGCTCTGCCCTCAGAATAATTCTTCATTTTTCTTAAGGGGAAGCACATGTTTTCAGCTAAGTAATATTATTAGGCAGTTTTCATTTGCAATTCTAGTGAATTTCTTTTATTTATTCCTTTCCCTGTCATTTGTTCCTCCATTGATATTGCCTAAACTCTTCAGAGTCCTTTGTGTGATTGAATACTATGAAATGTTGCTACTTCAGAAACATTAGCAAAAGGCTGTCAGGTCACTCGCTTTACCTTCTCTTCAGAGTACAAGAGCTCAATTTCCTGACATTGAATGTGCTAATTTTAGCGTCGTGGGAATTTGGTAAGATGAAAATCTTCTAAATCATCAAGTCCTGATTCCTTTTTGCTAAAAGTTCTCTCAATATTTTTTTTCTCTCTCTTGTTTTCCCACATTGTACCATAAACAAAAGGAATTTCAACACTTTTCTTGGAATCTCAAATAAAATTCCAAGTTCATGGTTTATAAATTTATCTCTCAAAATAACATTGTAGCACTGTTCGGTTAAGCATTCTATCATAATACAGGAAAAATACAGTTTCTTCATGTTTCCTATTACTTCTTCATTTCCTTCTGAGCCCTCACATACAGTACTGTTAATATTTCCACTAACAGTCTTTTAAAGTAATCCAGGATTTTTCTATTATGCTTCTCAAAGTTCTTCCAGCTTTAACTCATTACACAATTCCAAAGCCACTTATGTATTTTTAGGTGCTTGCTATAGCAATCAATGTCCCACTTTCAAGTACGTACCAAAATCTGTATTAATTTCCTGTTGCTGCTATAACATATCACAATATACTTGGTGGCTTAAAACAATACATATATGATATTAGAGTAATGAAATTAAGAATTCTAAATTGAATCAGCAGGACTCTCTTCTTTGTAAGGGCTCTAAGGAAAGAAAAAACATGTATTGTTTCAGGTTTGTTTTGTTTTATTTTTTTCTGGCCTTACCCATCTTCCAGAGGCTGCCTGCATCCCTTGGTTTGTGGACCCCTTCCTCCATCTTCAAAGTCAGCAGCATAGCATCTACTTCCATCTTTTACTTTTTGCCTTCTTCCTATGAGGACACCTGTGATTATATTAAGGCCTCACAGATAATACAAGAAAATTCTCCATCCTAGGAGCCTAAACTTAAATCATGTACACACAGTCACTTTTGCCATTTAGGGCAATGTTATTATAGCTTTGGGGGATTAGGATATGCACATCCTTGCGAGTCATTATTCTATCAATCACATTATGGCTACTGTGACTTCAAGGTAGTTGATTTTCAAGGTTTCTGTGATGCTGAGGAGAAGGTGATAGAAACAGGGTAAGTTAAAATGTCACAAAGCTCACTCTTCTTATTGAAATTTTCCAATTTTTCTTGAATAAATGCTCTTCAGATTGTTGCAAGTCTTGGGTTAATTTTCCAAGTTCTGAAAATTGATTTGACAGGTTTTACCAGTGTTCTGATTGCTTTTATTGAGAAGCAGATTTTCAGACACTCTTACTCTAAATTTGTATGTAAAATAATCAACACATGTAAGGAGACTATTAGTAGGAAACAAATCAAAATATAGCATTTGTGTGCACTGGTAAGTATAAAAACATATAAATGACAAATACACTTTTAAAAAATTCCAATTACCTATTTATCAATTTTTCTATATTTTCTATAAGTATATTGGTTTTATACAGTGTAATATTATATGTTGTTGTATATGTACATATAAATACATGTTTTTAATATTTGCTAAGTAATGCTTTGTTGATTTTTTTAACACAACACCAAACAAAAAGATGAAAAGCAATCATGCTGAATAAACTGGTTATCTTTCAATTTTTTTTTCAAAAAATCTCAACTTTAAATCGTTGCTCTATTATTGATTATCTCTAGTTTAATAAAGCAATATATTGATACTGGTGAACATAAAATACAAACAATTTTTAAACACTGTCACAATTTACTTTCTATAACAGGAATCTTCAAACAACAGTGATGACCATACAATTAAATAAAATGGATGATTTATCTGAATCCTTAGAGAGAATAGGTATATTGTATTATGCTTCAGCCAAATTAAAGGTTTATTAATTCTGGAGGAAAATTCTGGCTTAATTCATGGAATCTCATACATAAAAAAAAGATTTGTAGTTAGTTTAGTGTGGGACCTTATAGATTATTCCTAGTTCAACTCTCATCTCAGTTTAATAGGTCAAAAAGATGGGCCTTAGATATGTTGTGTGGTCATTTAGATTTACTAATGAAAGAGCTAAAAAGAGAACCCAGATATCCCAAAGAGAAACAGCAGAAGGAACTGTGATGGGTCATGGAAGGAGAGCGGGGAGTATAGATGGAGAAAGTGCATCAGGGCAGGAAACAAGAGGCCTGTACATACATATTTTACACAAACGTTTAATTATAAATCAGAAGAAAGATGGGGTTGAAGGCTTTTTTATTCTGCATCTATGTTGTTTATTTCTGTGTTCCCTAGACACAAACATAAATGTCTGCTTCCTACTTTGTATACTGAAGATCTATGAGGGTCTCTCAGATTTTTAGTATACTAAACCCAGAAACCTGGGCATATTCTATAAAAAGAGAGCAGGATTTTATCTCATATTAGATAAGTAGCAATGAAGCATCAGAGAAGTTATAGATCCTTTTGCCAGAAGACTACCATTTCTTGGTGCGAGCTATAAAATCTCAATTAGATCAGCAATGAAAAGCACTATATACATAAACAAAGGGGAGTTGTCAGTTATGGACATCAACATTTGAAACAGAATAGTTTCTGGAAACTACATGTGGAATGGCTACCTGACAGGTAAGTTGAAACGGTTTGGTTCTGTGTGGCCCACAACCCACTGTCTCTCAAAGTTGCTGTTAGGAAGAATCTAAGATAGGCAGATCCAAGCAGCCTCAACAAAAAACATTCCATTCAGAATTTTGAAGGTAATTAGTTCTATGAATACATGCATGTGTTTATAAGTCATTTGCTTCTGAAAGCAGGGAATGGGTGTGACACACAATTCTTAGGTCAGTGTAAATGGGGACCTCTGGGCCAAATCAGATCAGAATAGGTGAGGGCTTAGCCAGAAAAAATAGTTTGCATCTTTTTTTTTAATTTAAGAGACATTAGCTAAGCTGCACTTTCAGTGTCCTGTCTTTGCTCATTCTTGGCTCTTTTAAGACAGCTACAGCATTGTGTATTTATCTTATTTGCCTGGCCCCAGCAGGCAGTTGAGTCATGAGCCCTGGTTAGCAGATTCAGTTCTGATCAATATGAGTCATAAAACAAAGCTCTCAGAGACATACAAACACAGAGATATAAGACGTCTCCTTTAATCTTCTATTGGCATCAGGGTTACCTTGTTCTGCCCATTCTGGCTGGCACCCCAATGAGGAGTTTCTCTGAGATAACCTCATTCACATTGTTCATGCCTAGAAGTCAGAGTGTAATCTGGCATGAGTAATATTGAACAAGAAAACAAGCAGGAATCTGCAGAAATTGCTTAAGAACTCAAGTCTCCAGGGTGTATATGTTAGATTTTTGAGTCACAGATTAGAAAACTGGCCAATGAATGTAGCTGATGCAAATCCCACACAAAGTGGTTTTTTTTTTTTAATTTTTTTTCTTTATTTCTTATTTATGTAAATTGTAACTCCTTTTTCTCCACTCACCTAGCCTGCAGGTGGCTGAAATTCCTGATAAATATAGAGGACAGGGACAGCAACCTAACTGAAGACTGCCATTACTGGTCTTCTATATCAGTTACATATTCCATTTGCATCAATAGTATCTATAACACATTACTTATTTAGGCTCCACTAATGGCAGGTATAACTATAAAATAAAGATTATTCTATATGTCACATAAAGTAGTCATTCATTTGGTCCACACAAAAAAATTTTCACCCTTAAAACATCTGCTTTCCATCATTTTTTTCTAGTAAAGAGGTTTAATATCCAATGACTTATAAATATGATTTGTGTACCTTAAAATATTTTGGACATTAAAATATTTTGTCCATTTTCATTATCAGTTTCACTGCCATGTAGCACAGTGTTTATGTTCAAATAACCCCTATTTTACTTAATAAGGGCCCTAAAGTGCAAGAGTAGTACCCCTGGCAATACAGATACAATAAAGAGAAGACATAAAGTGCTTCCTTTAAGTGAATAGGTGAAAATTCTAGACTTATAAGGAAAAAAATAATATAGGTACACACTATAAGACCTACAATAAGAACATATCTATTCATGAAATTATAAGGAAGGGAAAATAAATTTGTGTTTGTTTTGTTGCTGTACCACAAACTATAAAAGTTACAGCCACAGGGCATGATAAGTACTTAGTTAAGACAGAATCATTGTGTTGCACCAGGAAGCACTGAACCTATAGGAAGACTTCAGCAAGGGATCCCCTGAAATGAATGGCATCAAGTCATTTATTTGCAAGTAAGAGGCTGCATCTGTCCATTAAGAAGTTACTGCCACATTTTTAGAAGAGTTAAAGAAGTTAAGGAGAAAGTATGCCATCCAAACATGGCTCTTCAGGAAGAAGATGACCAAAGGAAACTACATTCATAAAAGTGCAAGAGACATACCAGGACATAAACCATGCAAGGACATATTCACTCTGGTAACTATGTGGCAAGTCATATAAAGAGTTTGGTACCATCCACTATTTGGGGTTTCCACACTGGATGTGGCTTGGGTATTATGCAGACAAGAGGATGGCAACTGTATCTGGAAGTGGGCTGCTACACTTAACAAGTATCTAAAAACGTGAAAGTAGCTTTAGAATTTGGCAATGGGCCAGGCTGAAAGAATTCTGGGGAGTATGATAGAAAAAGTGTAGACGCCTTAAACAGATGTTTCATAGAAATATGATGTTAATGACTCTGCTGGTCAGTACTCAGAGAAGTGAGGTTCACGAAGATAAAATTGGTACTATTTAAAATAATACATCATCATGAACAGACTGATGTTAAAAATATGGAGTTAAAGGTGCTGATAGGGTGAGGGCTCAGATAAAGATGAAGAATCTATTATTTGAAACTGGAGAAAAGTGGATCTTTGTTACATAATCGCAGAAAGCTGAGTTAAATTTTGTGCTGCATTGAAGTTATCAGTTTATTCTTTGTAAATTAACAAATATCTTATTGAGTACTGCTTTGAGACAATATAAATACACTTTTACTCCTCAACCTTTCAACTACTGATTATAGAAACTACTAATGCTTTCTTGCTAGAATCAAATTACTGTCACGATTGGCAACTGAGAAATTATTTTAATTCAAACAATTCTTCTAATTAGCTTTTCTGCCATCAAAGGAACATTCTATTTTTTTCCCTATTTCTTCCTGTCTCCCCCGTTTCCTCTCTTCCTTCCTTCCTTCCTCCCATCCATCCTTACTTCTTCCCATCCATCCATCCATCCATCCATCAAAATGATATACGAAAGTGTCTGATTTTTCTACCTATTGGATTGGTGGTGACTATTGATTTCATTGTCAGATAAAGAACTTCCAAGGAAGTCAAGATAGGCATTCTTTTAACTAATCTTCATTTACCCAAACTATGGAGTTGACTTTTTAAAGTCTCTATAAAACCTACCGATGATGCCAGAATTACACTGAATGCGTGTGGCTAGTACATGAAATGGGTCCCTTTGATTCTCTAATTGTGAGGGTACATCTACCCTAACAAATTGAGTTCTACACCTGCAAAGAGTGATTTGTATTTTTTTCTTAAACCAGTTGATGCAGTATATATATATTAATGTTACAGAAAGCAGATAAATATTATTTAATACTTCAATTAAATATTAATTTAAAAATATTTTCTACAAGAACCTGAATTCTTTGAACACACTTATTAAAGCTAGTTGGTGGCCAGGTGCAGTGGCTCACACATATAATCCCAGCATTTTGGGAGGCCAAGGCAAGTGGATTACCTGAGGTCGGGAGTTCCAGACCAGCCTGACCAACATGGAGAAACCCCGTCTCTACCAAAAATACAAAATTAGCCAGGTGTGGTGGCACATGCCTGTAGTCCCAGCTACTTG